GGCAGACCGAGGAGGTGGAAAGACTCCGCCAAAAAGTAAGACAGCTGGACGAGCGAGTTGCAGAGCTCACCAGCTGCCTTAAAGAGGAGAGGAGCCTTGGTGCACCGGTGACTGGGGGATCTATAATGGAGGAAGATCCCAAGAGCCCACCCCCGGTGCCCGAAACCAGGGCACCACAAAAGACCCGCGCTGCGTCGGGTTCCCTCTCGTTGAGGGAACGGGTCGCTGAGTGCGATAGGAGAGCGGAAGAGGCGAGGACTGCGCGGCCAGTGCTACGCCCCAGAATTCTGGGCAAAAGAAAGGCGATTCCGGAGCCTCCGATGGAGAAGGCAATGGAAGACGTCCGTAAGGTGATGGAGGGAGTCTCCATCGATAACGTGACTAAGGGGGAACCTCGGGAAGTAAGGGCCAACCTGGCAAACTTGATCGTGAGATGCCAGGGGGTGACGGCCCTGCTACCCGGGGAACAAAAGGCGGCCAGGAAACAAGGAGACAAAGGGCTGCCCACCATCTCGAAAATCGAGGTGGTGAAAGGCGAAATGAAGGCCAAAGGGAAGGAAGCATTTAAAAAGGCTTTCAAACAAAAGGCCCAACCCCCAAGGGAGAAGGAGGTGCCCGTGGCAGGCAGGAAGCAAGAGCTGATTCCTGGCACGTCATGGGCGGTGGTAGTCAGGAAGGGAAAGGGGAAGAAACCGGCCCCCACTCCCACTCCTAAAGACGCCCCAAAAGAGAAGGCTGCAGTCCAAAAACCCCAGACTAAAGGGGGAGAGGGCAAAAAGGAGCTGAAAGGGGAGCGAAAGGTCCCCAAACAAAGAAGGGCCCCAAGGTCTGCGGCGGTGGCCACACCTTCCCCGAGGGAGAGGCCGGGGAGGGAATGCGCTTTATACGATCGCAGATTAAGCTGGAAGAACTTGGGATTGACAACGTCAAGCCCAGAAAGGCGCTCACTGGGGCAATGTTATTAGAAATCCCGGGAGGCGAGGAGGCTAAAGCGAAGGCGGATGCCCTCGCCAATAAAATAACCTCGGTTGTGGAAGGCAGGGGCATCAAGGTGACGCACCCTGCCAAAATGGCCGAGATGAGATTAAAGGATCTCGACGAATCCGTCTCACAGGAGGAGATCCAAGCGGCAATCGCAAAGGCGGGAGGGTGCCCGCCGGAAGAGGTAAAAGTAGGCCGCATAAGGACAACCCCCAGCGGGCTTGGATCCACTTGGATCCAATGCCGGCTGGAGGTAGCGAGGAAGCTAGCGACCACCAAAAAGGTCAAGATTGGCTGGGTGGCCGCTAGAATCGAGATGCTGGAGGCCCGGCCCCTAATTTGCTTCAGGTGTCTGGAGCGGGGGCATGTCCGACAGCAATGTCGAAGCACGGTGGACAGGAGCACGCTGTGCTACCGTTGCGGGCAGGAGGGACATACGGCGCAGACCTGCACCGCGGTGCCGAACTGCGTGGTCTGCAAGGCCAAGGGACTCCCCGCAAATCATAAAGCGGGGGTAATGCGTGCCGTTCCCCCTCAAAGGGGGAGAAAAAGAGAGCGGCCAAACTGGCTAAAGAGAAAAGCAGGGGACCGACGACATCCGAGGTTCCCATGGAGGTACAGGAGGCTGCTGAGCCCGAGAAAATGGATGCAGCACCCTCCGCACAAGTTGCTAAGCAGGCAACAAAGAAGGTAGCGGTCGGGAGGAGACCGGAGAGCCGTCGACTTCATGGCCCTAAAGGTCTTACAGGCTAATCTCAACCATGCCCGCCAGGCCCAGGACTTGTTCCTGCACAGCCTGGCGGAGCGTGGTTGCGGACTGGGGATCGTGGCCGAGCCATACAGAATCCCGACTCACCCCTGCTGGGCGGGAAGCAGGGACGGCTCGGCTGCGATCACGTGGAGGAGGACCGGCGAAAGGAGTGCGCCAGGGTCCACAATCAAGGCCGGAGGGAACTGGGTGGCAGTGGAGTGGGGGCCCCTTAAAGTAATTGGGGTGTACCTCAGGCCCAGTCTCTCCAGGGCAGAGTTTGAGGACAGCCTGCACGACTTGGAGGACGTCGTACGGCAGTTCCTCCCTGGACCGGTGCTGGTCGCCGGGGACTTCAATGCCAAATCGGCATTGTGGGGTTCCCGGCGGCCGGACGCCAGGGGAGCGGAGGTGGTGGCCTGGGCGTCCCGCTTAGGTCTCCACCTCGAGAACACTGGTACAACCAGTACATGTGTTCGACCGCAGGGGGAGTCCATAGTCGATCTGACATGGACTTCCCCTGCGGCGGCGAGAATGGTGACCTCTTGGGGGGTGGTTGAGAGTCTCGAACTTCTCTCAGACCACCTTCCCATTGAGGTACGGCTCTTACAGGAGAGGAGGGGCGGAGCCCGGGAGCGTCCCGTAAGGTGGGCGGCCAGGAAGCTGGACCAGGACAGACTGGTGGAGTCCCTGGTCGCGGCGACCCGGTCTCAGCCTGGCCCACTGCAGTCAGTTGAGGAGGAGGCGAACAGGCTGCAGAGGATCATGACCGCGGCATGTGATAACGCAATGCCGCGCTACAAGTTCGCTCCAAGGAGGGCAGCCTACTGGTGGTCGGAGGAGATTGCCGAGATGAGGCGCTCCTCAGTGGCTGCCAGGAGGGCTGTCCAGAGGGCGAGGCGGAGGCGGAACACTCCTGGGGAGGAGCTGGACCGTCTCCTGGAGGAGAATCGACAAAAGCGACAGGAGCTTAAGTCGGCTATCCGAAAGGCCAAAGTGGCGGCATGGGATGAGATGATCCGGTCCCTGGACACAGACCCGTGGGGGCGCCCCTATAAGCTTGTGATGAACAAGCTGAGCACTGGGGCGCTCCCTGCGGTTGAAACGATGCAACCGGGTTTTCTTGACGAGGTAGTGGAGACCCTCTTTCCGGCGGGGGACCCGAACAGGGCTCCTTCAAGAGAGGTGGCAATGGGGGAGGAGCACCAGCCTTGGACAGAGGAGCTAAACGTCTGCGGTGCGGAATTGATTCGCGCCGCAAGGAAGCTCAAGGCGGGCAAGGCACCCGGGCCAGATGGGATACCCGGTGTGGCCTGGAAGGCAGCCCTGGGGGAGCTCTCCGGAAGGCTGGAGGGTTTA